TTAGTAAGCGGTAATACGCGTTGTAGTAGCAGAAATGGGCTAAATCTGTGATCAGGTGGTATGCCGCTCTATGCTCACGATACACAGTGCTACTGACTGTCATAAAAACACGTGCCATAAATTTAACCAAGCAACAAACACACTCTCACACGCACAAACGACAATGAAATGCAAGGCCAACGACTTCAGCAAAAAACTTGGATTGTTCACCGGCACGCCATGCCGACAGGACAGGCATTAAGGAGCTGCTAGATACATATCGAATAAATTGATCGATGCGAAGCTTCAGATCAGAGGTAGATATGTACATGTTATTGTACATTGACGCGAATAGTGGAATTACTAAAATATGCTTCCCTGCCATTAGTAAAAATAGAATCTATTAAGAATTTCGTTTTTGAGATAGGTATTTACCGATTGCCGAAGACAATTAGCCGCGGAACACTTAGGACAACTGTTAATTATTCAATCACATTCCTTATGAGTAAGAAATAATTATTTTGTTAACTTTTGCTGTTACTTATTATTAAGAATTTTGAAGGTGAAATTGTTGAAAAATAAATATTACCTATGTTGTGTACTTTTTGAATATGATTTAAAAAATATGTGCTAAATGAACCATTTACAAAACAATACGCAAACAAATACTCGCGCATTAATATAAAAACGCTTATGGCACGGGGATTGATTTACTAATTTATTTTTTCTTTGTGTGTGGCAAAATACTCAAAAAAAACTATTGAAGAAATGCCACAAATAAATATGTACTTTGAGACAATAAATAATCATATTCTTTCAGGTTCCCCATTCCACAGTTCAACGCTCTTCCCAACGCCCAAATTAGAGGTCCTTTGGATTTCATCGGGAATTGGATACAATCCTCCGAATGGTTTCCGATAGAAATCAACGTCCCCGACACATTCGCCAGTATAGGCAGCGGCGTGGGATCTTTCGCCACAAACGTCGGAAACGGTTTTAACGCTTTCACACAAAACTTTGGTAACGGATTTCAAACATTCACCCAAAGTGTTGGGACCAATTTCCAGAACTTTGCTCAGAACTTAAGCCAACGGTTTCCCATACTTGCTGTAGTCGTTAGGCCCAACACGCCAGCTAGATATTTTGTTTTAATGCCTTCACAAAATATCGACAATAATAGTGGAAATAATGAAAAGTATATACCTTCGCAACAAATGGAAAACGATATATTGGAAGCATTCCCATAATGGACTCCCTTTAAAATTTGGTGTATTTCAATAAACATATGTAAACGCCCACCAATAAATTGGAGATGAATTCGTTCTTACTTCGTTTCTGAGATATGGGTGTAATTTTTTTGTCTTTTTGTTCTTTTTTTCAAGAGAACTGAGTCTGGATAAAATTTAGGTGACCAGTTTCACTATTTTCTGTGACTGTATCTGAATACATACAAAAAAAAATAGTAAATAAAACTACCTTAAACCTTCTACTAAAAAAATATATAAACAGCGCACCATTACAATAAAAAATAACCTGTAATAACAATAACACTCGATTTCTATTTGCACCAGGCTAATACCTAAACTAAAGACTAAAGACAAATTGCGCAACTAGTAACAGTTAAGAAACAATCGAAACAAAAAACAATCAGCAATAAATTTAAATTATTAATGTTGGTGATATTAGGTAATATTCTTAATAACAATCTATATCTCAGAAATAAAGCAGGAGCATGTTGATAGAAGTTTCTTCTGATTTTTTGAAGAGTGTTGGCAGGATTTCAAAAGACCTGTACATTTTCTTTTATTTTGCTTTCTATAAATATGTGATATGTAGTTTGGTGCATCTATATAAAAATAATGACTGCTTAAATATGATTATACTGAACTGAACAGTGCAGTGTTGTGTAAATTATTTATTTATTTATTTATTATTAAATAAAATTAAATAAAAATATGTTGATTTTGTTACGTCTTAATTTTTAAAACCCATACAAAAGTTTTGATATATTTTTATTTGCATAAAAAAAATGTGTAGTGTTTTGTCACTGAATACAAAGAAAGTTAATACGAATTGTACAAGCAATGTCGATAATAGCTCCTTACATGAGTTTCTATTTAATTTTAATTTTTTTTTCTTAGTATACCATTGTTATCGACTTATGACGAGTTAGACTATAGACATATTATTACAAAAAATTTGTTATTTGTGTAACTCCTCTCTGTTTTTTGTTCTTAATAAAAGAAGAATTGCTAGTTAAATAACGATAACTTGCAAAAGTAACAAAATACAGGTCGAATATTATGCCACATTATTTTATTTTATGGTAATACCTGAAAAAGTGGCAAACACCCCATTGTCTAAATATCAATATAATTTTTTTTGTACAAATAAAATGGTTTTGAATAAAATATCTCCTAAATTATCTTCCCACGAAACTAAAATTTGTTAATTCTTGGATAGTTATTAATCCAATGGTAGTATATTTCCCTCATACTTATTTAATTTTATGTTAAATCACCTACAGATTATATTACAGATTATTAATAATGCTTCACTAGGTTTATGCATTCCATATTTCTTATTTTTTTACAATACTTACTCTGTTTGCGCAATCTTAATTAAATTTATAATTTTATATGCATATATGTATGTATGCATGTATACAGGTGGTCCGAATTTTAGGAAGGAAACTTCGACGGCAGATAGATCTTTTTAAAATAGCAGGTGTTTGCCTTATAAACATAGGTCTGGAACGGCCTCGTTTTAGAGATACAGGGTGTTGAAGTTATTAAAAAAATATATTTTTTGTTTATATCTCCGGAATCTATGGACCGATTTCAATAAAATTTAGCACAGATAATGTATTTTTACCTTGTATTCCTTTAAATATGAGCTCTAAAGATTCAACCAGTGGTGTACAACTGGACAGGGTCACCCCCGTTTTTTATAAAAAAACCCACGTCACTGTATTTTTTACAAGGTATTGTAACGAATTTATATTCTAATGCACAATATACGTAAAAAAGGTAACTTGAATTTTTTCCCTAAAGTTCACCGTTCTCAAGTTATTCATACCAATACAATCCCCCTGGGGCAAACACTTCTAACCATAATATTACAAGAATATTTATGTTTATGCTTAAAAGTAAGTGCAATTTGTAAGCACATCAACAAAATTCTTTACACTCATCGCTTTCATCTTTTTGGATTAAAACAATATTTGGAAAATCACGACAAAGGAAGGAGAGGCACAGAAATTAAATTTTAAAAGCATTTGATGACGATCCTCGGCTAATTGTTAAGTACATGAAGAACGTCTCGGCAACTTAGGGTGAGTAAATCGAAAATTTGAAAAGTTCTACGTAAGGATGGCAGAAATCCGTACCATTTACTACCTGTGCAAAATTTACTTCCGGGAGATGCAGAGAGACGCCTGAATTTTTATCAGTGGTTGTTTGAATTCTTACTAGAAATACTTTGGACCGATGAGGCTACGTTCACAAGGCAAGGGGTAGTGAATTTTCACAATCTGGATATTTGGGAACAAGAAAATCCTCATGAAATTCGGAGTCATTTTTAATCTTTCTACATAGAAAACCATCTATTTGAATTATTAGAAGATGTTCAATTAAATATACGACAAAATAGCTGGATACAATTGGATGGTGCTCCTGCGCATTTTAGGAGAATAATACAAGAATGGCTTAATGAAAGTTATATGAGATGATGGATAGGTAGAAGACCAAATGCCAATGTCAACCATAATGGTGCTGAGGGTCCAGTATCTTGGCCAGCCAGATCGCCAGATCTAAACTCCCTGGACTTCTATGTTTGAGGTGACCTACCTGTAAAGTTTACTCTACTCCAATAGATACTAGACCACAACTACTGCAGCGAATAGAAGACGGGTGTAATGAATGATATTCAATTAGTTCCATTAATAGAAGTGTCAGAAATGTATCGATGTGGGTGGTTCGCATTTTAAATAATTGCTGTAAATACGTAACGTTAATTTTGTTTCTTGTTTAGTTGTTGTTGCTTGGTAAATGTATTTTTATTATTATTTTGATTTAAATTGTTCTTATTTGTAAAGATAATGCCTCCAGGGAAAACTAAAACACACCAGGAACACTACCTCACAAGTGATGTGGAAAGAATTTTGTTGATATGCTTACAAATTGCACTTACTTTTAAGCATAAACATAAATATTTTTGTAATGTTATGATTTGAAGTGTCCGTCATAAGGGGATTGTATTTGCATGAATAACTTGAAAATGGTGAACTTTAGGGAAAAAATTCAAGTCACCCTTTTTACGTATTTAGTGCATTAGAATATAAATCCGTTATCATAACTTGTAAAAAATACAGTGGCGTAGGTTTTTTTTATAAAAAGGGGGTGACCCGTGTCCAGTTGTACACCACTGGTTAAACCTCTAGAGCTCATATTTTAGGGAATGCAAGGCCTACTATCGTACATTATTTGTACCAAATTTTATTGAGATCGGTTAATAGATTCCTGAGATATAAACAAGAAATCAAATTTTTTTTAACAACTTCAACACCCTGTATCTCTAAAACGAGGCCGTTCCAGACCTATGTTTGTAAGGCAAGCTCCTATTATTTTAAAGAGATCTATCTGTCCTCGAAGTTTCCTGCATAAAATTCGGACCACCCTGTATAGCAATTACAATCGATTTGCGACTTTAAATCATTACCACAAAGTCAATAAAGAAATAAAAAATTTTTAAAAACTTACAGTAATCGTAAGATACCTTAAATAAAAAAAAAATCTGGGATAATATTTATTGTAACAAAGCAAGTTCTTACAAAGCTAATTTTTACTATTTTTTTTTTATATTTATTACAATTTAAGTAAAAATTAAGAAAAACATACTAATATTTATAAACAAAACTTCTTTTCACAGTATATTTTTACAGACACTTAAATAAATAGGCAGGCAAAATTTATCCAATAAATACTAGTACATTACAGAATCACATTGAGTTGAAGTAATTGTTTTTTTTTTGTTTCAATTACTCGCTGGATATGCACTTCTCAAATCATCTTTTCTAATTAATCCTTCTTTTTGTACAATGATACCAACGGGATAATCATAGCTATAGAAAAATCCTTTTGGAGGTCCAGTTGTGTCCTCCTCCTCATCTTGTTGTCTGTTTTGAGGTGCAGCATATACATCTCTCTTTTCGCTGTACTGGCCACTGTAGTCAACTTGGTTTGGTTGGTAGTACTGTCCAGGTTGTTGTTGTTGTTGATATTGTGGATACTGTTGGACTTGTGGTTGAGTATACGTTTGGTGAGCATCATAAGGGTTACTAAAATTTAATATAAAATTAATTGTATACATTATGTGTTTTTTGAAATCTAGATGTTATGTACGGGAATATAGTAATAGAGAATATTAATAGAAAAAGAAAAGAAAATTTAGTTATAATTTGGTATAACAGCTTGACGGAATTGTTGAAACAAAAATCAAATCAAGTTTCTTAGAGTAAAAGAGAAACAACAGATATAGAAGGAAAAACAATATTGATAATACTTAATCAATAAGGAATTTTAATTTTTTTTTGCTTTGTTTTTGTTACTAACTAAAAGTTTTATATATGACTGTATAATTCTGAAATTAAACTTAATGTCTCTAGACTTTTGTAACCTTCGAACTTCGAAGTTCTAATAGCATATTTGAATAACTGTTTAAACAACAATAAAATGGTTTATTGTTGTTTTGGTTATTGTTATTTGGACCATCCATTGAAATAGTTTGATTAAACATTATTGTAAAAGTTGTGAATTTTGAATATATAATGTTTAAATTATTTAAACAAGGCTTTTAATGAATAACAAATATATATGATGTAAACCTTCCCCGTTCCCAATGTAGTTCTGAAGACCTTTTGACAAAATACTCGGTAAATGTTATCAAAAGAGAATACGTTGCAGATGGCCGTGGTGATCTTTAGCAATGACACTTTTATTGTGATAAGATTGCGAACTTTACATTCCAACCTCGTATTGGATTTAACAGAATTTATAGAAAATACATATTATTTAACTTACGGGAGTGGGTGCAAATTTCTTTCGGCTTCTTGATGCCATCTTGAAAAGAATTTTTCTTTGGCTGCTTTAACTTCCGGGGAATCATCGACTTGTTTAGGAGCAATTTGTGGTACATTGTCTACTTGATGAAAACCAGTTCCATCATCCCAATATTGTACCTAAATATTAATATTTTATATTTTTTATTATTTTCGTTTGTTCTGTTATTTATGTGTTACAAAATGATTTTTTTTAATATATATAACTCGATTAAAAATTATTTACATAATACCTGTGGTCATTTACAAACAAATTAAAAACATAGTTATATTGTTTTACATTTATTAAAATTTAATTAATTAATAAAATTACAAAACAACGGCGTTTTTAGTAGGTTTAGCATCTTTGAAAACTTAATTACCTATATTAAACTTCAGTACGATATAATGTATTTCGTAAAATGAAAATAGAAAGAAATGCCCTTCAGGAGCCGTCTCTGAAAGTTTCCTTTTTTTCAGATATATCCAAGATAAAACGATGAATGAAATTTGAAACTGGATTTTACTATTTTACTATTCATTAATTTTAATCAGAAACAACATGAACTGTAGGGTTGTGGCTAAGTTTTGTTCTTACTGTTTTGTATGAGGACATTTCCTCTGTTTGACCCAAAAATTTTAAACAATTTTACAGTAAATGATGCTCTTGTATCATTTCGATACGTTGCACCAATTGATTCAGGAACAAAAATGTTCTAAATCGTGAACCATTTGAATTGATAGTTAAGTCATCGACTACCTAGCGTAAGGTCATGCTCAAATTTATACATATATAGTGCCATTATAGCGTAAAGGAACAAAATATTAACAAAGAATATTATAATGGACTGTATGTTCACAAATTCCTTTTTACGTAAATAGTTTTAAAATTTTACTTCAAAACTATTCAATTCGAAATTGCATTAATCTTAATTTGTATATTACATTGAATAAAATATATAGATATGTTACCCTTATTTCTTTTCCTTCTCCGTTGATGTAGTTATAAGCACCTCTCAGATCCCCTCCTGCCTTCTTTTTCTCGGTTTTAGCTATGTCAGGTATATTGTATCCATAGAGATATCCTCCAACGCCATCCTGGCCGTGATATTGTCTAGCTAAATAGATATCTTCCAACACGTGGTGGGGTTCATTTCCAAGGTATCTAACCGCAGGTACATTAGTATCGATTTTTGGTGCATAATTCAAAGACTGGTCTTGTTTTTCGATGATCTGTTGAGCATCAGTGGGTTCCAGGTCTATCAGACGGACTTCTGCGCTCAAGAGACCTTGAATGACGCAAGAGAGAGCGCACTAAAAGAAAGTGAAAATAATAATTTACACACTTTCTTATTTTAAATATAAATATATTTATAATTTGGAGAATAATCTATAACTCCATTTTTCAAAAGGCGAGCATTTGAAAATCCAAGTCTTTAAAAAGCATAAATATATTCGTGGCTAAATTTTGCGTTAATCTTTGTCGTTGAAGAAAAGCTAAGAAAACGAATATAAATTAATTTATTTAAAAATTCGCAAACTTTATAGAAACTTTTTTCAATAATTTAATCTTATTTTGACGGCCTATTTTTTGAATTATAGATTTATTCCTGTTAAGATGGCGAGAAGTTTTTTTTAATCAAATTTCACGGTTTTTAACATATATAGGATGTAAGGAAGATTTTGTTTTTCGGCTAAATTTGAAAGACCAAATTAGGGTGTATCAGTTAAAATAAGGGACGTGTAGATACTTGAAACAAACTAATCTAACAATTATAAAATCAGTGATAAGAAGAAAAGCAAAATCAATAACAAAGAGAAAGAATAAATAACGGCTTCACACCGATGACTAATACTCGAACCTTGATCAATATCGTTCATGTTTCTATGGGTATGTTTTCTGTGTCATCAAGGAAGATAGTAGGTAGCGATTTGAAGTTGTTAAATAGGTATGCAACTAATAATACAAGCTTAAGAATGCATTTTTAAAGACGAAATAACAACGTGTTTAAATTCCTGTAGAAATCTTTATAAAATTATATATACAAGGTAACTATTATTATACTAACAATTCGCCTGTTTATCAAAGCTTAAAATCATATATGGCTTTACCGCAGTAAAAAAACATCTAGGTATTGCTAAGTAACTATCAATTGAGTATTGAAACAATAAAAAATTGTCAAAATATTTTAACTTTTTTTGAAATAAATAATTTTAGAAAAGATAATTATAACTTTGTAATTGTCTGTTTTTCGAATAAATTGGTGAATATCTTTGGCTTTTTATAGTCAGGAAATCGCACTTTTAGTAGGACAATGATAGAACAAGTAGATCCATCTAGGAAGTGACGAAAGTAATGCTAAACTAGAGCAACTTCCTTTAATTTCTCGCATTGAAAGATCACTGAGGACATGTAAACATCAGAAAATATATTTTTCCTGTTTTGTCCAGCAAAGTAAAGGTACTCAATAACTGTGATTAATGCTGTGCACGTGTTAATAGTTTCTTAAAACCATTCTAAAGCAATATACAAAATTCAGGAAACATAAGGTAAACATACGAGGTAAAAATATGTTTTTTTCCCTAATTTTGAATGCATTGTCAGTTGTGTTATACCCTGAAGAAAGTTTATATAACTGGTACAGTGAAGAGATATTGTTTCCAACTTGATTAGATTTTCTAAAATGCTGCACAAAAAATTGCGCATATAAACTTTAAGAAATCAATCAATTAAAAGCATTTATTACATTTTCAAAATAAATAGCCTTAAAATTCTGGAATTCTAAATAATATAGCCCTCAGTATCTACTCGTGAATCTAAAACTACATGTGTTCCTGAAACTATGTTAATTGTATGTACAAAGGCAAATGAATTCCACTTTATAAGTTCACGGTTTCATTGTTTCTCTAGTGTTAACGACTTTGGAATTATTTAACACTAAAAAATAAACTATTTTGAGGCAAATCTCCACATTTCAATAAAATACTAATTTAACCAATCCTGTATATCTGAATATAAAAAATGTAACACATGTAGGAGAATAGAAAATGACCCCCTGTAAAAGATAATCATATGCCACTTGAAATTTTTTATGTTTATTCCTTTCTCTTTATTGTTAAATATCGGAAAATACATAGTATGAGTTGTACAATTTGTCGTATTTAGCTGGATAATTCTCGAAAGAAACATAATTTCCAATATTTACTCATTATGCAAATTACAATCTTTAAGTTATAGGTCAGAGTCGAAGAATATTACCTACGTGTATACAACATAACTGCGATGCCAATGACGCTTCTACGCCTTGATAATTTCTCTAAGAAATTATTCATATTTCGAAATATTAAACAAGGAATTGAAACATGATCAAACCATTGGAATTTTAGATGGAAATTTTTAAAAGTATCAACAAGCTACGTATATTTAAATATACCTACATAATGTTTTTTTAATAGTATATTGTTATGCAATGCAAGATTTTAAAATTACTAGAAAAATCTAGAAATATAATAAAAGAACGTCGAAATGTTAATAATTTGTATTTTTTATTTTCTTCCACTTGGAAACAAATGCTAATAATTCAAATTTATTAAACCCAATACTGTCAAGATATGGGATAATTAATTCTCTTCATTTTCGTTTTTTTCAAAATACATAAATCATAGATATAAATCTATTATAATTGTTAGAGGAATGAAATGGTTTTTCAATTAAGCAAATCAATGTAATTTCGGAAAATATTTTATAGTGGTATATATACCTCAGAAAACAATAAAATATAAATAACTAACAATCTTTGGAACCAAAATATTATGTAGGTAATTTTAGTGAAGTCATCCATAAAAATAGTTACTGCCATAGAATAATATTTAATGAATATATTTGTAATTCATTAATACTTCTTCAATGCTTAGCGTAATGATTTCCAAAGGATAAAATTATCTGTGATAGTAGAGATAAATAAATAAAAACAGTTTTAATAAAATTTCTATTATTAATAGTGTTGTAATTTGCTGAAGATACATCAAGCAACTATTAAGGGTTATGCAAAATATTCTGATTGAATTTAATTTAACATCTATGAAATAATTTTCTTTTTCGTGCTCATCAAAAAATAGTGTAATAAGAATGTATAGGACAGAACAGAATAAAATTTATTATTCAAAGTCAAAAGTACATATTTTTAGATAAAAACGTAAGTTAAAAAAAACATACAAAAATACAAATTAAATTTTTTATATGTACCTATATAGTATATTAATTAACAACTTTTAACCAGTATGACTAGACTGAGTATTAATAAATTCTTGGAACGCATGGAAACAATTTTTAAGCAAATGCTTTTTAATTTCTACCTTGAACACATCATAATGAGCTGTCGAACAGAAAATGGCAAACCACTGTAAAGCCTTACTTCCTGTAAATATATATAGGCAAAAAAGTCAAAATGCCAAAAGCCACAGAATATTGTTGAAAATGTCTACTCTTTAAATTAGCTATAGTTCCATGCAATTGTTGGTTTTGTAAATAAAAATTTTTATTGGAATGGCTAGAATTCCTCCATAATGCGAATGCATAATAAGATAAACACGAATGAAATAAGGCTAAATAAATGGAAATTACAGTATTGCGGGCTAACTAAAGTATATAACTATATAAATGTTTTTTAATTGTATTATTCGTCTTTATTCTAATCTCTTTATTATTACATATAGTCCTGAGCAAGAATTCAAACAAAGTCGAATGGTTGGCCTACTCAGAAAATCAAGATGCTGGTTTCCTTGCCCTATTCCGACTTTATACATAATTATAAATTAATTTAACTGTGAAAAATTACGCAATACGGATTATGCACTTTCCAAAGCTATATTCAAACACTACTTACCGCAAACAACAAGACCTTCATACTGCACTGTTTGTATCACTGAACTATTTCAAAATTTGTCCGAAAAAATAGCACCGGGATTTTATATATAAATTTTCAAATAATTTCGTAATCACCAATCCACCTATATATATGCATGATATCCGTAATCTGCCCCTCCATACCTACAGTGAAGATGATCACATCCCGAACCTGTATGAGAAGTTCCTAAAATGTTAGGTAATAGTACCGTATGCTGAATAAAATAAAGCTTAATCGTATTATCACGATGAAATGTAAATTATGGTTATTTTAAAACAATTAATTAATCTGTTTGTGTCTACTGACCAATATTACTGGCTGTTCGTTAAAAATTACTCATAATTGACTTGTACATAGAATAGCGCGCACTTTAACAATTAAGAGAAGACGCTGTGAATCTGTTTAACCTTCAGAACGTTATATAGATGTTTTTTGAACTTTTATGCGTCTTATTTTCACATTGTTTACATTTATGTACGTTTAACGACATTGTAAGCTATTGTTATATTCAGTATTTAATAAAGTGTGGAGAAAGAGCTATTATTGATACCTAACTGTGAAAATATATTGATAAGGTGATTCAAAAAACTTAGCTTGAACAAATACCTATTGTATTCAGAAGCATGGATACACTATAAGAAAAATTGGACTTATTTTCACTCAATAAGTATCAATTTCTGTCCAATCGATGATAGTGAAATTTTCCTCTGTTAGTATGAGTACAGGTACAACTAAAATTTTATAAGTGAAACTATTTTAATTTTAGTTTAAATATTAACAAAAATTTGTAAAATTATTAAAATGCTCAATATTGACTGAAAATGTACTTATTAATTTTCCTCAATGGATTCAGTCAGTTTTCACTCAGACCGATTTATTTCCGAATAAATTTTTAAATAATTTCGGCAACGGTAATTAATTTGTTATTTCTTTAGTTCCTAACAGGTATGTCATTACAGGAAAAAATCAAAAGAAGGAATATACAATGAATTACCTATTTAACAAAACCTGTCCAAAATAAAAAAACTGGTTGTTACCTACATCATTACCTATTTATTCATACAGGGTGATTTCTTTAGCCTAAAACTTTCAAATATCTCGAGAAATAAGCATTCGAAAAAAATGTTAACCAAAATTTAATCTTCCTACAGAGGAATCCTTCAGTGCCAAAATTAGTCCCTCTGTGGGGCAAGGGTTAACTTTGAAATATTAAATAGGAACTCCTATTTTTTTTAGTGCAGATTCGAGTTCGATGGCTAAAACTACGTAGGATTTGTCTGAAACATTTTTTCGATTCATGATAGATGGCTCTGTAATCGACGAAATTCAATTTTTTCGATTTCTCCTACTTAGAACCTATGCATATGGTTCGGCAATACATTTGCAATAAAAAATACCCTGTTTTCAGGGTAAATAATCAAAATTAGTCGTAAAAACAAATTTTATTTCTTAAATTTTCAATTACTGAAAAATGACTTGTTAAGTAACTTCTATTATGAAAAGGCATCCTTTTTGTGATACTTCTGTATTTTATTTTAAAAATACCATTTCTTTTGTTTAAAATAACATAAAAATATTTTTTTTACTGCAAAGATATAAAGAAAGAAATAACTTTTAATCAATCACCCTGAAGGAAACAGAAAACTACGATGTTCTCGTCATTGTTCCTGAGATACACTAACCATCCAGCCATTTACATTGCTACAGGTAACAATCTCCCAGTTATTCGAAATTTGTAAAATGAATAAACTTTTTTGGCTACGAACTTCGAGTATGTACATAAAACGTAGTAATTTTTATTGCAAACATATTGCAGAATCGCATGCCTTTGCATACACCTATACTCCGCGGTCGAAATTATAGAGAGTGACTCATCGCTAGCTTTTGGACTAGTAAGGGGGATGAAGCGTGCCGGGAACGAAAATCCATTGGCAACAAAATATAGAAAATATTGAAAAAATATAATAAAACATAACATCTAATATTTTTTTACGGTTTGCTATAACCGGCACTTTGATCCATTTTAATTATTACAGCATTTTAAAACGTCCCAGTTGTGTTTTTTTAATTTATCAATTTATTATAGCCATGGAATTAGACCCCTTGTCTACGCTTATGGTATGACGTTTCTCAGGACGGATAAATCAAAAAAGCATTTCCCTATTCCCTAACAAGTGCAAAAGACAGAGATAGAATATAGATCGACGTTCAGTGTAACTCAGTCTATAGACGATTATAGATTCTATCGATGTGCGTAGCGAGCGGCACAAAGATAAATAATATTGAACCGTATAAAAATCATTTTATATTTTTTACGCATTCTGGTAATAGTGTTTTTATATTATGTCTGAGTCACTCTCTATAATTTCGACCGCGGAGTATAAGTTCTCAGTAGGGGCGCCATCTATCATGAATAAAAATAATGTTTCAGGTTAATCCTACGTCCTTTTAGCCGTAGTATCCAAATCTGTACAACAATTTAATATTTCTAAGTTACCCCTCGCCCCACTTACAAGGAGGGGTGAGGGGCACTAATTTTAGCCTTTGTGGAATGATTAAATTTTTAATATGGACATTTTTGTAGTAATGTACTTATTCTTCGAGATATTTGAAAGTTTGAGGTTAAAAAAATTAACCGTTATAGTAACGGGTCGCAAAACCTTAGCGTTTTTAGATCTACACAGAGATTTTTCTAATTTAGAACGAAATTTGCATTATAAAAATTAAAATATTCACAATGTTCTTTTTTATGATAGATACAAACAGCTGTTTCTTTTGTTTTTCACAAAATATATTTTGCAAATATATGTGTAACCCTTTTCCAGATCTAATGTCGGCCATCCTTATTTTAATTTTCAATTTCTCAAATTTCATTCATTTCATTTTTTTTGTCACGAAGTTTCCCTATGTGGGCCTAGACATCGACCCCTTAGAAACGGTATAGCTCCCATGCTTCATTATCAAAATATGACCAATTTAATTTTCTCAAGTCGTCACGATAAAATATAACTTTTATATTTTAACGAGACGGAAAAGTCGTCGATATTATTGCCAAACATCATGACATCATTGGAGCAAACCCGCCGTAAGCGGGTGTGCAAGGCGTGAACCGCAGAGGCAAATCGAGCGATCACATAATATTCAAAGTAATTGGTCATAATACCTATTTTACCTATAGCATTAGAAATGTCATCGCATGGAGAAAAAATTCCAACCAGCCCGCAATTACTATTTTTCTTTTATATTATATGTTAACAACGCCATCTATTGGCATCCTTCGGAACTAAGATGTGATGCGAAACGGCTGTCGGTAGATTTTATAGTGTTTGTAGCTTTTTTTCTTCAGTCACTCAGAGTGGCTAAAATCTTGTTATCACTAATGCACCTGTTCCAAATTTACCAGTCAGTAATACCAAAATTTCTGTTGACTGTTTCAAATCTAGGACAGAGATAATAAATTTTGTAGCATAAATATCGTAAAATTTTATTTTCCAACTTTTTCAATATTAAGTTTGTAGAAAAATTCGATTGGCCTGATGTATGTCAAGCACAGCATTTTGACTGATTTGGAACTTAAATTATAAATTATGGTCGCCCGCAACTAATTCGGCAGCTTTAAGGGAAAATACAAATCACGTAAACTAATAAAAATAATAAAATTTTACAGGGTAAGGGTTTAACACATTATATTAATTTTTATTTTATTTTAAGCTTAGGTATTAAGCTAATTCTAAAAATGTTCATAGAAAACAAATGAAGTCTTGGGTCTTTAATATCAAAAATCCTTGGTGTGCCAAAACAATTTCATACACAAACTAAAAAATTAATAATTATCTGAAGTAAAAATTAAAAATAGTCACTCAAATATTACATACGAAAAAAAAAGTTTAACAAATTAGTAGGTCGCCCTCGGAGTCTGCCAATAGGTACACAGCAATGCTTTGTATCAGTATAGACATTGAGTGGCAACGACAATAATTACGATATATCTCACGACAATAACAAATTTGATAATCTCATTTTCAACCATAGAAAATATTTTAATTTCTTAACTGAAGCAGTGAAGAAACTGTAAATACTGTAATAGAAGAGTAGTGCAAACTAAGCGCGTACGGTATATGACCATTAAAAAGTCCTGAGTCAAAGTTTCTTGCTATACTTGAATTTTCACCGACTAAAATTTGTTTTAGCTATAGCTTTTGAATCAGTCGCGGGAATTGATTTAGTTTTGGAAGGTATATTCCGCAGTCAACAGACACTTTATGTCAGAATTACAAAATTTTATGACCGTTTAGGAAAAACTAACATTCTTTTGTAGCCACACAAAATTGTCCACCCTGTACATTTTTTCTACTATATCATGTGCGTATTATAATGACATAAACCATGACAAGTCACGTACTTAATTTTTACCGCACTTTCTTCACCTTTTAAATTACCAGTGAAATTAATACTAACATATTTATACTTCTGTTGTTGGTACAGCGCCACCTCTTCCTGTAAAAATCTAGTTGTAATAGAAACATTTGTAATAATTTGTATAATATAAAAGTTTCCTATGTATATTTTTCTATAATTAATAAAGTATATTGGATTGAAAGTATATAAACCAGTGACAAATACGACCTGTTTGATTATTATTATGTCACACCCTCCTTGACTTTTGAAATAGCTATTAAATAATGTAACATGCTTTTTTAATAACCGCGTCAATATTAATTTAGTTAAAGAAGTTGGAGCTAAAATTTTCGTATTTCATTTCGGTATTGATAATTATTGAGAACAATATTGAGTTTTCATATTTACTATTGTTATATCTATAAGAAAGTCTGAATGGTTATTTGTAATAGAAATTTAATGGGCCCAAAAAATAATTTGAAGTGAACAAAAGTTTTAAGAAAACAACGATATGTTGAGCAGAGAGAAATTCAATATTGTGCCTTCGGCTAGGGAAAATTTTGCAACATGGTCGTTCAGAATCAAATACTAACGTGAAAGTAAAGCTATAAAAGCTATTGAAGATGAACAGTTCAATGAGAAAATAGAAGAGCAAATGTAGACAGCACAAAAGTTGATTGTATATTTTTGTGGTAAGCCAGGTCAAAGGAAGAGGACACCAATTTTATCAAGGCCGAGGTCATCAGTCATTTGTGGCAGATGGAGAGGAAAAATCAGTTTTTGTATGTCAACCAATAAGTGAAGTAAATGAATGTCAAAGTGAAGAGCAAGAAAATGTGGAGTGG